AATTTAAGTTACGAAATTTGTTGTGATTGGGACTTTCTCCCAAAGGGCAAAAAAATGAGCTATTGAAGGCATTGATGACAGGTGTTGAGCCACAAATCTGTAGCTACCAGATCAAGCTTTCAGATTGAAATTCAAGTTGTACTGGTTCATATGTTTATTGTTGCTAAAAAAATAAAAATAAATAAATAAAAATTAAATCTACTAACCTTTCAATTGAGTTCTAAAACCCACTCCAAAAGACAGCCATCTGAGGAAGGATCAGAAATCCTAAAAGCAACATCTCTCCTGGAACACAAAAATTTGAAGAGTGGAACATTTCAGTCGCCTGGTCCATCAGAGTTTCCCACAAGTGAGGAGCAAAAACTCAAGGATGTGTTCACGAGCAAGAAGCAATAAAAAAAAAAAAAAAGCAGAGAAGGTGTTTCAGGCGTTCGCTCTGGGAACAGAATAAAAAGTTTTCTTTTTTTAAGGTTCTGGATTTGATTCTCGGTCCTTGATCTTTGTGCATGGAGTTTGGTGTTCTCCCTATGCATCCTGGGTTCTCTCCGGGTACTCTGGCTTCCTCCCCGAGTCCAAAAACCTGACTGATGGGTTTCTCTAAATCCTCCTTAGGTTTAAGTGTGTAGTTGTTTGTCTCATTGTTTCCCTGCAATGCACTGGCGACCTGTCCAGGGTGTACCCCGCCATTTGCCCGTAGACAGCTGGAGATTGGCGCCAGCACCCCTTTCAATCCAGCTGGGATAAAGCATTACAGAAAATGGATGGATTCTTGCAACATGAATTGTGCAAACACTCTTTATTGTATTTTTTATAAGCATTTTAATGTACTTTATTTATTGTTATAAATTTTTTTGTAATCATCACTTATGAACATCAACACACCGAATGTGGTGCTCTCACCAATGACTGTCAAAATAGTCAAACAGAAACAGCTCCTCCAAGCATATTTCAGACTCTCAGCAATAATAACTCTACATAGTAGGCGGCGCCAAGAACACATCCTCATCAATAGGATGCAAACAGGAAAGGTGCAAAATAAAGATAATTTCCAGTACTCCAGTTGAGGCCGGATGATGGGGGATGGCATCCCTCTTCTTAAAAGAATCTCAAAAATCATCCCCCTTCTTAAATGACAATCACCCCATACCACCCCCTGTGACATTTCATTACTATATTAAAAGTAATATTGCCCTTTCAAAATTTGGTGGGCTGTGGGCTTATGAGTAGCCTGAGCAAACTAAATAAAATCAAAGAAGTGTGCTACCATGACTATAAAGCTGATCCCAGTGGGAAATGTGTCCTCTGCATTTGTCCCTAACTATGTGGAGCAGTGATAGCCATGACCTGACATGTAAAAAACATACCATGCATATTGCTTTAGGTTAATAGACTATATTCATTAGGCTATGAATGCTTCCAAAAAAAATTTCCACCATCCCCCTTCTTCTTCTTTTTTTTTTTTATACAACTAGACTACTAATCATAGACAACATATATCTATATATTTTATTTAATACTGTCTATGCCAGGGGTTTCCAAACTTTTTTGGCTCAAGATACCCCTATACATTTATCCACCCAGCCGTGGTACCCCTAAACTTATAATGATTATTTGACATTATTTGATAATAATTATTTTTCTGTCATTTTTTTCAAAGTAGTAAAGAAAACATAAAATGAAGCCCCTCGCCTTAGAATATATTTGCTTACATCAAAATAAATGTACAAAATTGTTCAAATGTAAAAATATACATTCAATATAAAACTCTCATCAATCTATGAAAAAAATCCTGCGGCACCCCTGTAGTGACCTCGTGGTACCCCTAGGTGCCGCAGCACCCACTTTGAAAACCCCTAGTCTATGCATCATGATAACCCCTGACAACGTATACTTCCTGATAATTTCTGCCACAGGCGTAACTTTGTAAAAGACTGGTGTGGACATAACCCCACCAATAATTTCCGCTTTTGCTTATTTCCACTTTAGCCAAAAGTAACAGCTGTTGAGTCAGTATTTTTTATTTTCCTCTTATTTCAGCA